TAGAATTTTCCCACAATGATATGAGTAGAGCTGACGTTTCCATTTACTTTCACATTGCCTTGCTTTCCCAAAAGTTGTTCTCATCCAGGCACCAGTGGACTGCAGTTTCGACCTTTCATCGGTCTTATCAACACCCTCAGCGGGAGTCGAACCCCAAAAGTGCAAGATGGAAGCTTGACATGCTAACCACTCGGCTACACTTCACTGCCGCGGTTCGACTCCCGCTGAGGGTGTTGATAAGACCGATGGGAGGTCGAAACTGCAGTCCACTGGTGCATGGAGGAGAACAACTTTTGGGAAAGCAAGGCAATGTGAAATTAAATGTAAACGTCAGCTTAACTCATATGATTGTGGGAAAATTCTGGTACCAGTCCTTCATCACCTTAAACGAAATAGGGTGAATGCATTTCATATTTATATCTTTAATTGTGAACAAACTAAATATTGATTTTAGGGTTGCACCTTTTATAGTTTCCACTTTAGAGAAATAAATATTTTTCCTTGTGAGTAAAAATAAATGCCACAGCGGAACACTTGGTAGCATACCGTGAGAGCACAAGAAGACAAAAGATCATAAGGACTGCCAATTGAAATTTTAGAGGGTCTCCAACAAGTAGAGGATTTGAGGAAAGAAAAATTTACAAAAGATTTACTTATCACTTAAGCAAACTTGGAGGAAGCTAGGATTTAACAAGTTCAATAAAAAGGTAGGTGACTGGATCAAATATCTATTTTGAATACGAAGTCAATTTATCTCAAAAAAGAAGCTGTTGAAAGATACTTAGAAATTAAAATTTGCTGTTTTAGTGAGTTTTGTAAAATCACGAAAATAAACAAAACAACATCTTGGGGTTTGGCTTACAAGGCAATGGATAATTAGGCAAACATTATCATCATGAAAATTGGGCATAAATTATAGATGTACGAGACCATTTCGCCAATAAATCAACTCAAGAGATGCTGCAGAGACCAAATAAATACGCCCTTATTTGGCTTATATTAGATAGAATAAATCAGAACGGTCGTCCTTGAGGCAAGGATCTGACCACCATATTTACTAACAGTTGCTTTTATTTTAATGAAATAGGAAGAAATGCTGTGATAAGTTAACCTTGGATGATATCATTAAGCTTGAAATTCAGGGCTATGGAAACCTACTAGGTGAGGTCTCGGTATACGTGCTTCCAAATGCTTGAGGCAAATATTATGAAATCCCGCCTTATTTGTAAAGTACGAGGTGAATGAGTGGATCTGTGGGATAAGAAACGGGTGATAGAAACCACAAGGGAGGTGGTAGGATTGGGAGTAAATAGCTTAAAATGTGAAATGTCGGATTCCCAATTTCTGCTCTTAAGATGGGGCCTAAAAGGAAACATTGAAGAGTTTGATTATCCACCAGTAACTATACAAAACGCAAATGTATGGAGCAGTTAAGAATAAAGAAGCTGATAAAGAAAGTTGGTCGAAGAACTGTGTTTAGCTTATATATTTATATCTTTTATAGCTAGTTGCTTGGTGCAAAGTTCATTATGGACCCTGATCACGACAGCGATAAGACATCTTGGAATGCGCCAATTTCCACCTTGGAAATTTGCATAGCTACTTTAGTAGGGGACTCGAAACAAAGGGCATTCTTCGAGGTCGCCTTGATAACACAAATTATTTGCAACAATGCAATCTAGCCAATACTATGCAGTAAAAGGTGTCTTCGAAAAAAATATAGGTCACTCTATCTTGGTCTTCAGGTCTACGCTTAATGAATGAAATCAATAATTGGGTCATTTCTATAGACATGAAGTAATTGTTCACTTTTAATTGCCAAATGTCTAAATAGTTATTTATGCTGTATTGCATAATTCTTAATACAATTACGAAATTATCTAATTTTATACATGTAGAAAATAAATTAATATTTCAATAAATATGTGTATATAACTTCGCCTAATCACCAAGAGTTATGCAACAAATAACGTTAATATGAGTCTAATTAAATGGAAGCCCACAAAGCCGATAATTATGCACTAAGGTTTCATAACGTCTATAGGTTTAAAGCAATCGATGAGAAGGTCCTTAAAAATAATAAAATGATACACTTAGATAAATACTTTACAACGAATGAAGACCCGTCACATAAATTTAAATCAAAAATTTATTAAAAATACTAAATTAAATCAGATTATATTATATTTTAATTAATTTTTGTAGCCTTAAAACTTTTTTTTTAATTTAAGGTCCACCGAAGAGATTTTCGCTATGTTTATTGCGATTGCGTATTTTGTGGATGTAATAAAAGATTTGACAAGAGGTACATATAGCTTTTTTTTCTTTTCTGGTATTCCTTTTATATTATAAAAGTTAATTTGAAGTTCCTATACTAATTAACGTATTAAGTGAATGAATATCTACATAATGCATCTATGATGCTTTTATGTAAAATTTGTCTCACATTGCTCTAATGCTTATTAAGTATCAGTTCCTAGTCAAAATATAGAATAATTTAAATCAAACAAAATTTTGTTTGAGATTTGCATCGGACTGAAAACTTTTAAAGCCCTATATTTTAATTTTTTATCTTGGATTTATGAAATTTGCAATATAACATTATTTAAGAAAATGAAGTATTTTTAATATATTATCTTTCTTTAAAATATCAATTATGATCAAATCCACACTGGTTACGTGACCTTTGTCCTTATTGAATAAATATTATATGTATAAATACAGTTAATTTTAGTTTCATACTTTATACTTTTGTCCATCAAAAGTCTAAAGTAAGCATTTCATCCAATCGTAAATATTATTTATACGCCGGGATTTTAGCAGGGTCTAAACAATATTTTTCATTTAAGCATCTCTTTTATTTTATATCAGCAGGTTTACATAGCATAATCTATTTTAAAAATAGCAATACAGTGAAAAATCTGATAACTAAAATAAAAATACAGATAATTATAGCAAGTATATTACTTTGCTTTACTTAAATATAACCTTGTATTATTAAGTAACTTTTTGTGAAAAAACTATAAATGTATTTTTCAGCCAGAGGAATTCTGTGCTTTACATCTCTTTGAGTTTATTTAAAACATTTGGCTTAAGTTCATAAAAGTTCCAAATATTAAACAATTAATAATAATTTATTTATCATGCCCCTTTTATTCTGTTATCATTATCATAACTATGGAAACTATTTAAAATTGCAAATAACTTAGTATATATCTACGCTTTGGTTGCATCTCCCACAATTATATTTTAAGCTTGATAGTTTATAACAAACTTCACATTATTTGACATAGGATGCAGAATATTTCAGGATTAATGATACTTTTAGATTAAACTAAATATATTCATTCTTAGAGAACTTATTAATTAAGGCAAAATAGAAAATAAGAAACAAGAAAGTAGAAACTACGATCATCCTAAAATTTAATTCTCTGAAATATGCCGATTCTGGGTAAATTTTATTTCTGTTATACCTAACAATAATTGAACATTCCAGAAACCAGCAGTTTATTTAATGCGTTCAAAATATTATGCTAGTTTTGTTCACATTGGAGAGGAGAATTTCACAAATATTTGTATTGAAAAGGTAGAAAACAACTTTAACTGACTACCTAGTTGATGCATAGGTGTAAGTAAGTAGATCAATTTCTGAGCATATACTTTCCAACTTTTAAGTTTAAATCAGAGATGTGAGTAAAAATTCAGCTAATTTTAGTAAATTTTATCCATAAACTGATTATGGAACAATAATGATAATATATGACTTCAAAGGTGAATAGTCGTATAATGGATACGTAAAATACCTAGCAAATAAGGAATAGAAGTAGTTATTAAAGCCTTGAGCAGTACTATAAGAATGGGCTATATTATGTTTATAAAGAGTAAAAAATAATTATATTTAGATCAAGTAAATAAAATGAAAAAGCACATTAAAAAGCATTTAGGAATAATTTTAGGAAGGCATTAAAATATAAAGTTAATTATTAATGTTTTACGAAAACAAATATCAATAAAGGAGCTAAAAAATGTATACACCAAATATTTACCAAATATTTAATTTATAAATTGATCAATTAAGATTATTTACTATTAAATCTGTGGAAATATAGCTTTACCATATGACATACGAGAAAATACATTCATAAATTAAAATTCTATATATTAATAAAGAAGAAAAATGTAGTTCTACATCTGTTAGTTAAAGCCTATGCGACAGACCTTATTAGATATTTAAAGTTTGCTTATAATTTGGACTGACTGCAGGACAATACCTCATTCATTAAAACCTAATGAATAATAAATCTATAAGAGTAAACTAGTTTAAATCATTGATCCAATTTTAAGAATAGTTCTTGTTAACATACTGATAATATTAATAAAATTGTTCTGCAAATTTCGTTGATAGGATAACCTTTTTAATTACCCATGAAATTGCTCATGTATACTCATTTATTATGTTATGATTGATTACGAATTTTGGGGGCTTTCATAGCCATATTTATCAGGCTCCCAACTTCACCCACTTAACAATGTATCTTCATTGCGTAGTAGAATTACTTGGCACTAAGCAGAACTCTCAGTATTCATTACGCTGAATACTATATTTTAGATTGGTAGACTTATGATAAAACACTAATGTAATAAAAGTATCAGTCAGAAGCTAGAGGCACAAATTATTATTTATTTTAGGATAAAACCTACCATATTATATACTTAAAATTTCTCAGACTCTATACTCTGCAAAGAAAGCAGCTAGATTTAGCCATTTTAGTAACTTGAGACAAATTTAATTATCTTGCATAATCCACTTGACTTACTCGTAAAATAATTAAATATTTTTTATTTGCTACTTTTGATTTTACTGATTAGTTTTTACAAAAAACTACCGAAGGCAAAGTTGTAATGGACACCAACTTAGCCATGACTTAAACGTCTCACGCAAAAGCAAAGCCTCAACAGAAGCGGTCATCAATCAAGTAGATAATGGCACAAATCCTTCAATGTCCCATAATTCCTCAAATTCTACAATTATTCACCCTCTTCGGAGACTTGTATCTAGGTCTTTTAAGTCTGATGACGCCTCAAAGATTGCCACTTCGACCAACTTCTCTGTCAATGTAACCAGTGAATCCATTCCAATTCCTTCGCTCATAACTGACCCTTCGCCTTCCTCAACACCACGATACCCACTCGACAATCACACCTTTTCATTTGCCACGCAATTCACCTCAAGTCAAGTTTCGGCTGAATCAACAAATAATCTAATTGTCCATGGTTCTCAATCAGCTTCACCGAATAATCCGATGCCACTTCCTCTAAACCAATCCTCTATCCCGGAAGTGCTGCTTGATAATGAATGCAACCGAGAGGTTGCCATGCTTTATCTACTTCTCTTGATCGGGACGGTCTGGATAGCTATCCACCTGCTGAACTTCACTAAAACGTAATAACTAGATCAAAAGATAAGCGCATATCATATTATCATTATCATATGTCATTATATGAGATAAAGGTGTATAAACTTTCGAGCAAAATGGCAATAATATTTTTATTAGGGATTTCTTAAGTATGGCAGTATAGAATGGATTCATATGATAACAAAGTATGTAGGGCTCTTGGAGGCAAGTAAGATTTAATAATAGGTATTTCGTTCTAAATGATGGCCCACCAAAATTATAAGTTCAATTAGCACCAATATAACTTGATAAATCATTTACAAGTAGATTATTTAAGGTTTGAAAAATTACTGCCAAACCGAATAATTGCTTACTAAATAATCACTCATGATTAGATTTGCAATATATGATCTTTTTAAGCTATCGACGGACCATAAGATTATCATTAACCTCAGTGGATATTTATTTAATTACGAGCTATATAATTGGAGTTATTTTGTGTTATTTCCAGGATTTAATCTGTAAATATCTTATTGCTTTATTCATTCGAGCATAAAATTCACAAAACTAATTATAATAGAATAAAATCTTGCGCAGACAAACTTAGCAATGTAAATGCAAATATTGGGAGAAGGTATGGCTCTAATCTGACAAATAATTGCTTAAGTCCGAGCACTTCATTTAATATTTTTGTCAAGATTAATTTATCTAGCGAATATTAAAACATTCTTTTTATTCTTTTTCTGAATTTTGGACACTATTTTAGTGTTAGATATACTTATAATTCATAAAACAGTTTATCAGTCACATTTCTGGTGCGAAGGCAAACTTATATATTAGGTTAAAAAGGTTAATATATTAATTTTTTACTTATAATATTTTTATTCATACATGAGCTAAAGTCAATAAATATCTATTTTATATTTGATAATATTAGCTAGCAACCTTAAGGAACTAAATAACACTCATTTTCAAAGTTTATATAGAAAATATATTAATTATAACCTTAATATGAATGCTTTCTCTTAATACTTT